TCTCCAGCAACGATCCCTTGGTTGCTTGTCGTGGTGGGCACTTCATCGGTGAGCCCAACATGGAGATACATAGGTTGCATGAGAGAAGGGAGGGAAAGAGAAGAAAGAGGTGGGGCCCACCTAAATCAGTGGGAGAGAAAAGAAGATAGGGTAATTGTCATGTGAGACCCACAATTCCATATCAGCAAAAACCGTATTGGAAAGCACTCTGTACCGGCTCGGGGTTCATCCAGTTTTGATAACTGAAGAGTGTATGGTACCTGATTTCCTACTCTAGAGTTGAAAATCAGATGTGCAAGTTAGAGCTTGAAAAATGCACTTTACCCAGTCAAACATGAAGACATATTGTCTACTCGTGTATATTATTACTATGTGCTGTAATAATTTTTTAATTCTTGTGGTGCAGGGGGACCCATCTAGCTTCGACAAGTTAAAGTGTCACGTAAGGCATCTACTTCTGCAGCAGGAAGTAGAACTTCTGCCAAAGCTTAGAGTCGTTGACACAGTTCAACGGCTCGGTGTTGCCTACCACTTTGACGACGAAATCAGTGCCATACTCAACTCCGTGTCAACGGGGAGACAAGACGTCGATCGCATGGACGATGTTCGTCTCATGACCTTATCCTTTAGATTGCTTAGGCAGAACAATTATCCCGTTTCTCCAGGTAACTAAATTCAGAAAACACTAGCTTCATCCCATCGAAGTAATAGGACGCAAAGCATTGTTTTTACCTATCTGAAATACACACATGCATGTGCCCTGTGTTTCCCTGCATAATTGCTAGAGTACCAACTGATTGCTAAGCAAATTTAGGGCGCGTTTAGTTCCACCCAAAAGCCAAATTTTTTTTGCGCAGTATCCATCATATCGAATCTTGCGACATATGCATGGAGTACTAAATGTAGACGAAAAAAAACTAATTACACAGTTGGGTGAGAAATCGCGAGACGAAATTTTCGAACCTAATTAGTCCATAATTAGACACTAATTGTCAAATACAAACGAAAATGCTACAGCACCCAAAACCAAAAAAATTTGCCAACTAAACAGGCCCTTAACTAACAAACAAAATCGCAACAGAAGTACTATTGCGAAGCCTGAAGGATGGAAGTGGTAACTTCAAGAAAATGCTTCAGAAAGATACAGAGGGTCTTCTTTCCCTCTACGAGGCTTCACACCTTGCATTTGAAGGCGAATATCTCCTGGATGAAGCACGGGTGTTTTCTACAGAAGCTCTAAGAGGACTCATCATGCCGCCCATGCATCCACATCTAAGGAGCTCTGTGGATAATGCTTTGGCCGTTCCACTGCACTGGGCGGCCCCACGGTTGCAAGCGAGATGGTTCATCAACCACTATACAAGAGAGAGTCGGGCGGATTTGTTGTTGCTTCATTTTGCCAAGCTTGACTTCAACAATGTGCAGAAATTACAGCAGCAAGAACTTTCAAGGATAACCGGGTAATCTAAGAAATACTGATAACTAGACTCATGGCTGCATTTATATACCATTTCAATCAATTTCTAGGAGAATCTCGATCTTATTATATATGTATATGTTGTGCTGACGTTGTTTCCATTTTGTAGCTGGTGGAGGAACGCTAATCTGAGTGAAAGTCTGCCATTTGCGAGGGATCGTCTGATGGAGTGCTTCTATTTTGCTACCGGTGTTGCTCCTGAGCCTAGTCTCGAGGCATGTCGAGAAGTGGTCGCTAAAACTTTTGCTTTGATTGTGCTCTTAGACGATATCTACGATATCTATGGGACCCTGGATGAGCTTGTGATGTTCACTGATGCCATTGAAAGGTAAGCTTTGAAATGCACCTACCTCAAGGCTGGAGCCGATAAAGTTGACTACAATAAATACATTTATCAATGGAAATTTCATGCAAGTTTGGAAATAGTATAAAAACTAGTAGTACTTTTAATTTGTTTCTGCCATATATATTATTATAGTACTAAAACCAATGTCATAATGTATTACTCCCTTTGTTTCAAATTATAAGTCGTTTTCAGTAAAAAAAAGGTCTCTTTGATTTTTTTAGTTCATCTATTTTACTATGTATATAGATATATTATTATTATATCTAGATGCATAGTAAAATAGATGTAAAAAAAGATCAAAGCGACTTATAATTTAGAACAGATGGAGTACATTACAACATGAATAAGCAATGAATATTTCTCCACAGATGGGAGGCATCCGCAAGCGAACAACTCCCTGCATATATGAAAGCAATCTACCTCACTATCGTCAGCACATCAAATGAGGTGGCTGAGCAAGTGCTTAGGCAAGAAGGATGCGACGCGAGGTTTCTTCTTAAGAAAGCGGTAAGTACAAACCACAAGTAGACAAATACAACAGTTTATGAATGACGAAGCTAACACGTACAACTACTTACTGTCTCAGTGGCATGACCTCTGCAAGGCATTCCTAATGGAAGCAAAGTGGCATTACAGCAATTACAAACCAACCCTCCATGAGTATTTGGAGAACGGGTGGATATCTGTCTCTGGGCCACTAATGTTAATTCATGCTTTCCCCATGATCGAGAAGAAGGGTGTTGTTACCCCAAACTCCATACGACAACTTGAGAGTTATCCAAAATTGGTACAGATGGTGTCCAAAATATTCCGGCTCTGCAACGACTCCGCGACACATTCTGTAAGAACACCGGTTATTCTTGCACTAAATTGTTAGATCCAAACAAGCCCTTGTTGAGATTTATTTCCTGCATGTAAATGTAGGAAGAGCTGAAGAGAGGAGATGCGCCATCTTCTATAGCCATTTACATGTCAGAGAACAGAGCCACGGAGCATGACGCTCGCAAGGCCATGAGAGATCTGACCATAGAGACTTGGAAAATGGTCAACCAGGATGCGTTCAGTAACTGCCGATTCCCTCTTCCTTTCGCAAACGCCTGTGTGAATATGGCGCGCATCGCCCACTGCATCTACCGGGGTGGAGATGGTATTAGTGCACCAGATGATGACAGAAGGCTGGAAATCAAGGAGCTGTTCTTGGAGCCATTCAAAGTGGAAAATTGAAGGTGCATGCAGCTTGCTAATTGCCCCACTCAGTCCATGGAGACATTGTGGTGAACATTAGAATGGTGTAGAAGTGCATTCCATGCGTTTCAATAAATCATATTATGTATGTCGACCACCTTTATATTCGTTTTTACGCCTATATATGCCTGTGCAAGCATTGTTGTGTACCACATCATTTGAATTTTCTATCATTTATTTGAGTCTGATTAAAGATAAATAGTGCCCTACATTCGGTTAACGAGAAACATGGACTAATTTTGCTCCCGTACGGTCAGTTTTTCTCAGACACGGAATACGTCAACGCCTGTCGTCTGAAATTCAAAAAAAAAAAACGTCTGCTGCATCTCTATTGGATCGGACTGTGAGATGAGGGAGCCTGTATGTTGGGTTGAGTCGTTGCTTTCATGTTTTCGCATTCGGCCCAAAGCTACCCGGCCTATCTGTCCATCTGACTTTTTGTGGCTGCTGGCTGCATCATGGGTTTGCTACTTTTGTTCAATAGATAGAATAGAGAAAGCAAAGGAGGAAAGATGGGGATAAAAGAGGCCATGTTCGTTTCGCTGAAATTTGACTGCTACTAATACTTATGTTGATTTGTCGCGTGAGGGAAATCATCCGTCCACGCTCTTGGAACAGACTCACGATGGGAAGCGAAAGATCACGTCAAATTCAAAACGCGGTTAGAAACGCGCACTAAAGCGTGCGTTCTTTTCGCTGACCGCGCAGCCGCGGCTCCATGTGTAGCCAGAGCCACAACGATACGACTAGTAGTAGCAGTCGCACTGTAAATTCTAGTGGAGGGAAACGGAAGAAGCGAAGTAGATTTCGTGTCCCGGGAGTTGAGGGCATATTTGACTCTTGCGCGTGGTCAGTGATCCACCGAAATCATGACACGACAACCGAACCCATCCGCGGGGACACCATGATCCGGCGACAGTGCGACACCCAGGACAGTGACACGAAATCATGAGCCGTGTTAAGCCCACGCCAGCAAATCCTCAACTTCGGCAGCGTACGGCGAAACTCTGAGCTTGCTCCTTGGTTACTCTTGGGAAAATGGCAAACGAGCTCCATCCAGTTCGAGACGAAAAAGATGGGTGAAAACGAAATGGAGGAACCGCCGGGAGGAAAGAAAAGTCGGTAAGGCCTGGTTTAGATTAGAATTGTAAATTTTGTAATCAGGGAGGAACCGTTTCAGGAGGAAAGAAAAGTCGATCGTAAGCTCCATTGGCGAGACGCTCGTGGTTGCATTGTGCAATTAATTATTTTTTTACCTAGTGGAGCAAAAATTGATGCCAACCTTGAAAATTTGATGGTACGTAAACAAGGTCTAAGCTCCATTGGCGAGACGCGGTTGCATAGAAGTAGTGGAGCAAACCGGCCAACCAACGCGGAGCCCCAACCACCGCGCCTACCCCGTCCATCTCCTCCTGGACACCTGGACCTGAAGTCACTGCGATGACTCGAGTCCCCGCCCGAAACTTCGCCGGATTGCCCCCACCAACCGGAGGCCGGGTTTAGCATCGCTAGCTTTGTTTACCTGCCATTATTGGGAGCGCCACCGCCGGTGGCGGCCACGTAACCCGGTGTCCTCTCGTTAGCCACAAACGTCCAATTGTCAGCGCGCGCCGACCTGGCGTCGGCTAGCGGCTGCGTTCGGCTGGTACACTGCTCGTTTCAGCTTCGTTAACCTCCCTGGAGCAATCAAAACCATTCTCTTGGCCCATACGCGCCGCGAACGCGCACGCGCCCCCACACCCGCCCGCCCGTCTCTCTCTCGGTTCCTGCGCCCGCAGCCCCGCACGTTTCCAGTTCGACCGAGCCAGAGCCAGAGCCCCGGGCAGTTTCCATTCGCTGCTGCCGTGCCGCGCTCCTCCTCCTCCTGCACATCCCCCTCCCCCGAATTCGAGCCGGAGGGCCGAAGAGTAGATCTGCGGCGGCGACCAGAGGATGGCCGTCAACTGGGAGCTGCAGGGCTGCTGCGACCGCGACCAGAGGATCTTCATCGCCGCCGTCGGCGTCTCCACCGTCGTCATCCTCCTCGTGAGTACCACCTCCCCGTCCCCGAAGCCGCCTCATTTGCTCTCGGTCTCTCTCTGGTTGTATGATTCTCCTCGCCGCTGCGATAGGGGGGCTTCCTGACTCACCGTGTTGTGTGCGGGTTGTTTTTGCAGCTCTGGAGGACGTTCGTGCTCACGCCGTTCAAGCTCATCACCGTCTTCCTCCACGAGACCAGCCACGCGCTCGCCTGCAAGCTCACCTGCGGCGATGTAAGCCATAAACGCTTACTCGTTCCAGCACTCGCTTTGGGAAGGGAAAAAAAATCCGCTGCGCTGCGATGGTGACGCATTGAGAATTTGAGATTGGGGGTACCGGAGAGCGAAGTCCGATTAGGCTCCAAATGGGGGCGGATAGGTTTCGCCCATCATTTTGTGCTGGTGGGTGGGAAAAGTAGGCGCCGTATGAGTGGGGATCATGGATTCCATATCCCATAGTGCGGGCGCGCTTTTTATACCCTTTGCTTTGCTATTCACGGGAGCAGAATATACCGTGCATCTTTGCAGTTCTTCTGCATAAAGGGATTTCATCTCATTTCATCAAGGACTGGAGTCCTGGATTCGTTGTTGGGCTTGCTTTTTCTCCTGTCCGCAAGTATCTCTTGACTCTTGCTACAGTTGTACTGCTCTTCAGCATTCAAGTCAGCGATTCTGGTAAATGAATGCCAACTGTCTGCAAAATGTGCTCTCCTTGGCATTCTGGTATGCTCCTCCAGCTACCTGGTAATGCAAACCAGCAATCGCTCTTTGTTAGGGGAGCTTAGAACATCGTGCTCTACACTGTGCAGTGTAAAGGGGAAGTAACACATGCTTTTGGAGTCCGCAATTACGTCGACAACCACATGATCAAGTGTGAAACCATTGGAGGTGAATCACCATTGTTTTATAATAAAGGAGTAGCAAACACTTGCTTGTGTTTTGTTAACTGCGTAATGCATGGGTGGCGCCAATTTCTTTGCCTTTGTTTCTTTCCTTTTCTCCCCATGTTACTCAGTTGCTCAGATGTAGGTAGCACAGTTAATTATTAGCTACCCTTGATTACATCTTTAGTTTAAACTTCAGTTTTAAAATAAAGTCGATCTGCCTTTCAAAAAATGTAGTGTTTTGATGTGCGTGGAGTTGGATATTTGTTACTTCTCCCCATGCCACACAAATTAACTGTTGGATTGGATACCCCTGATTCTGACTGTACATGAGGACAACCCTGTGTGATGAACTGTTTCAGACATTTCAAAAGATCTTCTGATATGCTTAGTTGGGTCTATACTTTTTGTCGTAAAGTAATTGGTCTGTCTTTAAAAAGCGAAGTGTTTTGATTTTGACCGGATGTTGCCTTTTGATTCATGTGGAGTTTGGCATTTGGTGCATTGCTTAGACATAATATTTTGGCCAGCGTCTGCCAACTTACCATATCAAGACATATATCTACTCAGTGTTGATGCCAGATAAGATATCGCCTCAAATATTCATTGTACATATTATTGATTTCAATTTGATTGGCTTCTTCAGGTAGAAGGCATGCAGGTCCATGCGAATGAGGGTGGCGTTACTCAAACTCGGGGTGGCATATATTGGATAATCTTGCCCGCTGGATGTAAATCAGTTGTCCCTCCCATATTCTTCTTTCTTATATGATTTGTCAGAAGAATGCGAATAAAAAAGACACAATATCTTATTTTCTATTACTAGCGAGTCAGCCTCCTATTTTTGCGTTCTCTCTGATATTTTAATGCATGGGATCTAAACTGTTGATTCTAAAACATTTTGAACCTAATTGCCAAGAAGTAAATTTATGATGAATTTATTCATGGGACTCATCTGTTTTCGTAACCTTGCTTAGTTCTTTGTAAGTAACCTTACATTCTTTTAACATCTAACAACCATAAAAAACCATCTCGATGGACTAGATTTGTTATTCTAATCCCTCTAAATTTTATGTTCCCTTGTTCAAGCAATTTGCCTTTGGTCCTTTTCGTGATGCTAATGTTTTGTTTTGAATTGCAGATCTGGGTTCATCATTTTGGGGAATGGTCTTCATACTTGCATCCACAAATCTCCTCGCAACAAGAATTGCAGCGGGTTGTTTCATACTTGCATTGTTTATTGTTCTTTTTGTTGCAGAAAATGTAAGTTCACTTTTTATTTATTTATTTTGCAACTTATGACTTCATTTGTCTTTTCCACTTGCGCATACAGTAATCATGATCGTTTAGCTAAGCGTTATTATCTCTTGTTTGAATTGTGCAGTGGTTTCTTCGCTGGCTCTGCCTTGGTATGCATCAACATGACTTGGTCTCCATTTAAGATCTTACTCTGCAGCATGCCACTTACGATGTTGTTATCCAGGATTCATTGTGTTCATTGCTGTTGTTTGGGTCATACAAGAATTTACATCTTTCCATATTCTGAAATATGTGATCTTATTCATAGGTGAGACTGAATACTTCCTACAATCATGTTCTCTTTATTTTAATTTATGGAATGCAAATTATATGGTTGAAAAGTTAATGTTTATGTTTATTTATGTGCACCAGGTGTGATGAACAGCTTATTCTCAGTTTATGGTAAGAAATAAAACAGCCTTTTCCTTGTTATTCCATGTTAGAATAATCCTTGAGTTACTATCTTCTGAATGAAATGTTCTCAAATTATTTAGATATTTATGATGACTTGATATCTCGAAGAGTTAATACAAGTGATGCTGAGAAGTTTGCTGAAATCTGCCCTTGCCCTTGCAATGGTTTTGCATGGGGTGTAATATGGTCTGCTCCCAATTTCAATAGTTATTTTTTTATACCTTTGATGTTGTATTAAGATAATCCTGATGGTAACGACACCCATGCTAACATTTGCTGTTCTTTCTTTCAGGGGATTCATCTCGTTTATCTTTCTCTGCGCTTCAATATACCTTGGACTGGTCATATTGTCTTGAGGTGATTCCTATGTTTTCATATTACCACACTTTATTCTCCTTGTGTTGACATGCTCATTCACTATTGCACTGCAACACAGAGCACAATCACACAGGTGTTATTAACTTAGTTGTTAGGAAGATATGTCCCAGAACTAAATATAGCATTACAAGATTCACAGGATGGTAGGAAACTTAGTGTCTGCCTTGTGCATCGTAAATTGATAGTACTTCCCCCTCGGTGGTAAAAATTCCAGGAAGTGTCAAGGGAAATGGGGACACAATACTAATTCAGTCATGCAATCCTTAATTTCAATGCCCTTCAGTCTGAAGACCGATATGATTCCCGATGTGATCATGTACTGTTATCTTTCTAGCAATAAATTTGTTGATCAACTGACACTGCTATGCAGCTGTATCCTTTCTTCCGCATATGATTTAAGCTCATACTTACTCTGAAGCACACTTTTATTTTCTGGTTCAGGATTCCAACCTTGTGCATGCCATTTTGATCTGACAACCAACTCTGATTGGAATTTTCGGAGTTTTCCTTGATCTAGATTTTGGTTCAAACTTACATTGTTCTGGTGGTTGTACAGTATACATGTAGGGTAAACCTGTATATCCATTGGAGTTAAATTGGTGGGGATTATTCATGTGATTCTTCGATTTTAGTGGTTCTATAGATACCATTTTGCTTACCAGTTGTATTTATGGTTACTTGGTCAGTAGCCTCTTTTTTTTTTTTTTTGATGCCATCAGTAGCCTCTTCTATTTATGTACCTGTACATCGTATTACCTTGCCTTATTGCTCATTTAACCAATTGAAAACATACTCAGGAATGCAACATTGTGCATTTTATCTGGCACCGTTTTGCCATAATGACTGACGGGCTGATTTGCTACCACTAGCAGGAGTTAGTGCCCAGTGCGGTTTAGTTTATCCTGGTACTTTGAGGCCCTCTAATCCACTCTTTTTGACGGATGGAACTGTCTCGTGTTAACTAACTATGGATCTTGTCGCCATGTCGGTTCGAAGCAAAATATTTGGTAGTTGGGCTGCTGTTGCAAATTGCTGGAAGCCCTCGCTGTACAGTAAGGTGAGTGGCTTTATTGCATTCCCTGGCGGGAAGGGCGTCCTGTGGCTCTCGGCTGCTAACTTCGCTGCATCACCTAACGTGCTCAGTTGTCGCTGTCCGCGATCCGGACTTCCAGACGGTGAGACTGATGTTAGATGGTGCGTAACAGCATATTACGCACCATTTTGCCGGTAAATGCTAAATAGAAGGTGCTTGTTGTCGCGGCACCATTTTGCCGGTAATGTTAATTAATGGTCCTACAAGAGGAAATGGTGCCGCGACCCTGATTTCTCAAGTCTTTAAATAAAAAATGTAGAAATATGGATCGAGCTGGTGTAACGACCCTGATCAGAGTCCGCTGCTTCTTGGTAGACACCCTTGCTTGTACTCGAGCACATGTCCTTCGGATCAAATCGAGACACTTTCGCTCTCTCTGCTTCCAGTTCTGAAGCCAAGTGACACAGGGGTGAAGTAGGCTAGTAGCCCTGCTGGAGTGGTGGTGAAACCGCAGCGGTGGGGCAGCGGCAGGCGCACGGGCCCGTGGAGAAGACGAACGACATGACCTGCTAGTCTGGCTACAGCAGAAACAGTATTTTTCCAGGCTTACTTCTCCGCTAACGAATACTACTTTCATCCTAAATGGTAAGACGTCTGACTTTTTTTTTTTTTGCCCCAGGTTTGACCACCCTGTAAATATAGTCAAATTTAAGTCATTTTTGAAGAATTTTATTTAAACTAAACATGGCAGCTGAGCAAATTTTTGAATAAGGCATCAGGCAAACTTGGTGTCAAAAAAAAAATCAGGCAGGAGTGCCTCTCCACCTCGACTCTCGGGCTGAGCAAACAGGGCATCAGGCACAGGCAGGCTGCCCTCTCGCTCGACTCTCGGGCTCGGTCACTCCACTAGGGTCCCGTTTAGTTGGCGAATTTCTGTAGATTTTCGTTGTTATTTGACAATTAGTGTTCAATCATAGTCTAATTAGGTTTAAAAGATTTGTCTCGTGAATTTCGTCTAAACTGTGTAATTAGTTTTATTTTTTATTTATATTTAATGTTTTATGTATGCGTCAAAGATTCAATGTGATGAAGAATCTTAAAAAAATTTGCAAAATTTTAGGAACTAACAGGCACTTGGGCCCTTCTCGATTCCCTTGCTCGCCACGAGTGCCAAGCCCACAACGACACAGGTGCCTGCGCACCTGACCTGATGATGGGGGCGACGCCGCCGGTCCGTGGCGTTCGCGTGCGCGTGCGCGTGCGCCTCACCGCTCCATCGCAGCAGTGCAGAGATCGGATCAGACGGCGCGGGGAGCGAGCGATCTGACTTGCACTCGTCCCATCGCTGGTCACATCATCCAGTGTCACGTACGCTCGCCACTCCAAGGCCACGCACGCACGCTCGCGCGGTGTGGGTGCGGGTGCGCCGATGCTTTCTTCTTTGGGCAAAGCTCAAAGCTGTGCCTGTGCTGTGCGTGAGCCTGAGACGGCTGAGCCCTCCCGTGACCTCCATACTCTAGCCTTTATAGGAGAGTGTGTGTATGCAGTATATGCTTCGCTTAATTAAGGGATTTTCGTCTAGAAATTTTGCAATATGGCGTTAGCCGTTAGGTGCAGCAAATCAGCAGTGGTATAAAATTCAGTGCGGCCGCAGTCAGATTAGGCTGATCTGTCGACGAATTCAGCTCGTGCCGCGCCAACTTGAGCTTCCATGCGTCTGCAAGCAAGACGAGGGGTCGAGGGGACTGTCACGTGTATGATTGATGCCCGGGAATGTCGGCCAAGACCCGCAGCTCACGGCACTGTCAACTTCGACGTGCAATATACTACTATTCCGTGGCGGCCGTGTCGTGTCCCCGCCTCGTGCGCACGATGCTGCCAAGCGTAACATACTCCTACCATCATTCCCGCCTCGTGCGCATCGATGCTGCCAAGTATGCGTGAGAAAAACACTATTCCCAACTAGAAATTTACGATCGTTTACGAGCAAGCAAACAAGCTAATCCTCTCTCAAGTCCTTGGCTCCTTCCTAGCTTTGCCCTTCATTTTGGGACAGGCATAGATAGCGGTGAGTGGTGACCAGGGACCGAGAGCCGCAGAGCTGGGGATGTACTGCTACGTGTTCGTTTTTGGAGTTTTGGTTGAACTATGTTCTCGGGCGCCGCCTCGTGGTGGCCAAGTGTTCAGAAAAAACCGCGCAAGTGATCGACATGACACGCACGAATTCTCATGACGGGAATACGAAAAAGAATCGATCTATCTTGTCAAAGTTGCCAAGACAACATATAAAGCCGCCCTGGCAGATTTCGACTTTGGAAGGACTGTATTTCCTGTTTGCTGTAATAACCTCTTTTCTTGTACTACCGCCATCTCAAAAAAAAAAAACTCCAGTTTTAGAGCATCTTCAATAGTTAAAAAAAACAATTAGTAAATCAATGAGTTCTCTAAGTGGCTAAAAAAAGTTGGGATCGTATTTGTTGGATTGCTCTAATAATTTTTAAAATCTCAATACTAAAATATAGAAGACAATTTTACATAAGAATCATATACTATTTCTAAATCATCATAATCACTTTTGTATCTACTTTCTCTCTTGTATATTTGCATCAGAAACAATGTCCTACTCCTTGTTTTTTCTCGTCCTTCCATAGATTGGCCAATGGATGATACGGGAGGGGATATTGGAAATAGAAATGTGAGTAGAAACTAAGAATAGTTCGTCTTCCTTTTCGACGACAAACAATTAAGGACAGAAATAGAAGGCTAGAATAACTCTTATTGCGAGACATAGGAGTAGACAAGTTTGAATGCAACATGTAAGGGTTATTTCTTAGATAGGTAAAATATATATCTAACCATCAAAATAGGGAGAGCTAATGGAGAGGCTAATTACTAATTCAGACCCCCCCCAAAAATTAAAAAATTTTGTGGCTATTATCCCATGTATCTAAAGGAACCTCGGTTAGCTGTTAGCTAGCTAACAATTAACTTTAACCATCTACTATTAGTTAGTTAACAATTAGTTCTATTTCAAGCAAACATGTTCAATATCGTTCCTCGGCCAGAAACCCAGGGTTTGTTTGGCTGCAGCTAGTTCATCCGAGTCTATGGTTTGAGAGTTCTTGGGCAAATAATTAGTTATTATTTATTCATCTTCATGCCTTCCGATCCATGTGGAATGAGGTACTGTAGGAGTACATTGGTGTGCCGTCATGCAGTGAGCTCGCATGAATGAACCAATAAAATGCGCGTGTTTTATACGATAATTTAATTAGTGTGCATGTGCCGATGTGCGCTGGCTGCTCCACCCCCGTGCTACTACTGCATTTCTCCTCTTCACGGCTGTGCCTGTTCACCTTTTTTTTTACGGTAATGCTATATGGCTGACGTCCAGACGCGTTTCTTCACCTCCGGACGTGGCTCGTGTTTTTTCACTCGTTCTCCTCGCCTTATCCTCATCCACCTGCCTCACGTCGCTCTGCCCGCTCCATACGGAAACGCTCGCAGTCGCTCTCTCCCGAGCCGCTCGCGGTGTCGCCCCGCCCGAGCCGTGCATCCCCCGCCCGTCGCCCCTCCCTTTCTCCGCGACCCCATGCCACCGGAGAGGAGGGCGACGGTGGTGGCTTCCGACGAGCCGCCCCTCTCTCCCTCCCCTCCGCGACCCCATGCCACCAGAGATAGGGCGGCAGCGGCGGCTTCCGGTGAGCCGCCCCTCTCTTCCTCCCCCTCCCTCATTCCCTCCTCGACCTCCATGTCCCAGGAGAGGAGGGCGATGGCGGTGGCTTCCGGCGAGCCGCCTCTCCCTCCCTCCCTCCCTCCGTGACCTCCATGCCACCGGAGAAAAGAGGGCGACGACGGCGGCTTCCGGCGAGGTAGGTGGGTCCTTCTCTGGATCTGAGCCCTCCTCCCCCTCCTCCTCTGGATCTAAGGGATGCGGCGGTGGCT